TTCTCTGTGACAAATGATGACAATCACTGGAGACTCTATGACTGGTCCAAACTGACCACCGTTGTCATGTTTGGCTACATAAATGATACATTGATGTGTCTTGCTCACTCACATAATGTTAGAGTTGTTGTATTGGGTAAGTTGCAGATAGACTTGTTGTATTAGGTAAATTGTAAATTTGTGTTGTTTATAGAATTGTTTTGCTTGGCCCTGTAAACATATTTGCAGTGCTAGGTACATTTGGAATAAAATAGACATAAATTTCTTAATTCTCTGCTGAGACATACAAGTGACTTGATCCTCTGTAAAACAACATTTTCTACTGCGTGAGACATACAAGTCACTTGACCCTCTGTAGAACAACATTTTCTACTGCGTGAGACATACACGTGACTTGATCCTCTGTACAACATTTTCTGCTGAGACAAACAAGTGTCTTTACCCACTATACTACAACATTCTCTGTTGTCCTGAGACCATCAAATGACTTGACCCTCTGTACTACATTTTCTACTGTCTGAGACATACAAGTGACTTTATCCTCTGTACTACAACATTTTCTACTGTCTGAGACATACAAGTGACTTTACCCTCTGTATAACATTTTCTACTGTCTGAGACATACAAGTGACTTTACCCTCTGTATAACATTTTCTACTGTCTGAGACATACAAGTGACTTTATCCTCTGTACTACATCATTTTCTACTGTCTGAGACATACAAGTGACTTTACCCTCTGTACAACATTTTCTACTGTCTGAGACATACAAGTGACTTTACCCTCTGTACAACATTTTCTACTGTCTGAGACATACAAGTGACTTTATCCTCTGTACTACTACATTTTCTACTGTCTGAGACATACAAGTGACTTTACCCTCTGTACTACTACATTTTCTACTGTCTGAGACATACAAGTGATTTTACCCTCTGTACAACATTTTCTACTGTCTGAGACACACAAGTGACTTTACCCTCTGTACTACTACATTTTCTACTGTCTGAGACATACAAGTGACTTTACCCTCTGTACTACTACATTTTCTACTGTCTGAGACATACAAGTGATTTTACCCTCTGTACAACATTTTCTACTGTCTGAGACATACAAGTGACTTTACCCTCTGTACTACTACATTTTCTACTGTCTGAGACATACAAGTAACTTTACCCTCTGTACTACTACATTTTCTACTGTCTGAGACATACATGTGACTTTACTCTCTGTACAACAATTTTTACTGTCTGAGACATACAAGAGACTTGACCCTCTTCAATGATTCTTCTTGGGTTCTAGTTGCATGTAGCCTGCTTTGGTGCACTGACAGAGATAGTCCAGTATCATCTTGAACAAGAAACATTAGAAATGCCACACTGATTAGTTATGAAATGTTTCTTGATTCCAACAACTGTTATCCTCTGTCAGAGCACAAGAGGCATAAGCATCTATGGGAAACCAAATTGGCCACATACAAAAGCATCAATGAGATTAATGATCCCTTCACATGACGACCAAATACAGCACTTCCAACCGTAGACATTTCAAGAGCTGGCAAACGTACACTTGAGCAAAACACTCATCTGACAGCAGACACCAACTCAGCCATTTGCACAGAACTGGATAGTCAGGTTTTTCTGCCAAGTTTGGCTGCTCGATCTTATATTCGCTGACTGCATATTAACTTACTTCTCATTTGACCCGGCTTTCTCAATATCGAAAAAAGGACTAAATCTTCTTATTCATTCCAAGTTTAAATAGAACGTTTCCCTCTCGTGTTCCACACACAATTCATACTTTTCTAATATGGCATGTTTCAGCCAGTTTGCAGGCCTGTTTCAAGTTATTCATTACTCAGTCTATTCATGCATACATTATACTTTGTACTATAGACTATTCAATCAAAGTCAAGCACATAATTTATGCTTAGTATTTAACCTCATTTACATATGATAAGAGCATCAATTAACAATGAGAAAATGATTCATTACACTTCTTCCCCACCAAAATAAATACTTGTATCTTCACTGAATATATGGTAAGTTGTTTGGCTTGAGACTTTGCTGAATTTAATGAGACATACACGTGACTTGACCCTCTGTACTACAGTAATCTCTACTGTCTGAGACATACAAGGGACTTGACCCTCTGTACTACAGTAATCTCTACTGTCTGAGACACACAAGTGACTGGACCTTCTGTACTACAGTAATCTCTACTGTCTGAGACACACAAGTGACTTGACCCTCTGTACTACAGTAATCTCTACTGTCTGAGACACACAAGTGACTTGACCCTCTGTACTACAGTAATCTCTACTGTCTGAGACACACAAGTGACTTGACCCTCTGTACTACAGTAATCTCTACTGTCTGAGACATACAAGTGACTTGACCCTCTGTACTACAGTAATCTCTACTGTCTGAGACATACAAGTGACTGGACCTTCTGTACTACAGTAATCTCTACTGTCTGAGACATACAAGTGACTGGACCTTCTGTACTACAATAATCTCTACTGTTTGAGACAGACAAGTGACTTGACCCTCTGTACTACAATAATCTCTACTGTCTGATGTCAGTTCTTCATTCATTTATTCATTCTGTACTGTCTGAGATAGGCAAATGACTTGAGCCTCTGTACTACAACATTCTCTCTCTGGTGTCTGCTTTGTATCGTTATCTCACCTCACCTCATTTCCCAATAATACATTGCTACATGCCCCTAGAAGCTAGAAAGCTTGCAAACAAGCTTTGAAGTCATAGATTTAAATCCCCACACACCAAAAAAAGGTTTTAAAATTGTCCTATACTCCTGTTTCATCCTAGTCTAGAATATATAAATCATGTTATGTCCTGAGAAGTGAAGATGGTGGTGATGATATTACAACATCTGCTGAGAGCGTATTTGTCTCCAAGTGCAATAGCATTATGTCAATTAGGCATTGACTTCTTTGTTAACTTGCTGTTTGCATTGTGCATTGTTATGTTTATGTTCTGAAGTTTATTCAAGTTTTATGAAAATTATTTTCCTCATGCTTCCTCAATCACAGGCAGCATAGATAAGGACACATTCATGGACCCGACAAAAAGACAATTTTGGATTCAAGACCAGTTTGTACTGGTCAAAACACACTTTTTAGATGGCTTGAACTTTGATTTTGAAGATGTCATAGCTAAAGATGACAAGTTGGTTCGTGATGCTTACACTGCCCTGGTACAGGAGACTAATGCTTACTTCAAGAAAGAGATGCCATACTGCCAGGTTGGAAATAAAATGATTTTTTTCTGTCAGTGAAGATATTGATTATAGGAATACTATCAGATTATTTTATGTAATTAATTTATTTGCCCAAACTCATTATCGTCACCTAATTAATTGTTGTCTTCATCATAAAGTCGGCTCTGTGGCTAAGTTGTGGCGAACGCTTTGTAATGCCGGGTTCGATCCCAAGCTGCGGGTCATGTGCCTTGCATTGGTTTCAACAGTGGTATCAAGAAAGCTGACCGTCCAGAAAGCAGTGGCAAACTACTTGACGTAAATTTGTCAGGGGCTGTTGGGGTTGGTTCTGCAACGTCCTGTAAAGGATATGCAACTAACCCAACCTTCATCATAAACAGTGTTCTTGTCATCATCAGCAATATTTTAGGCAGAGTGATATGTTTCTTTTGCTGTTGACACTTGTAAGTTCTCTTGGTAACATTTGCTAATGTCAGTTTGTCAGATCATTCTGTGACACTGGTACTGTCTTCTAAGTTTCATCATCGACACATTATGTTCTAGTTTCCTTATTGACACATGGAGTTCTAGTTTCTCTGTTGTCACATTGTGTTGCAGTTTCTATATTGACACATTATGTTCTAGTTTCCTTATTGACACATGGAGTTCTAGTTTCTCTGTTGTCACATTGTGTTGCAGTTTCTATATTGACACTTTGTGTTCTAGTTTCCGTATTGACACTTTGTGTTCTAGTTTCCTTATTGACACATGGAGTTCTAGTTTCTCTGTTGTCACATTGTGTTGCAGTTTCTATATTGACACATTGTGTTCTAGTTTCCGTATTGACACTTTGTGTTCTAGTTTCCTTATTGACACATGGAGTTCTAGTTTCTCTGTTGTCACATTGTGTTGCAGTTTCTATATTGACACTTTGTGTTCTAGTTTCCGTATTGACACTTTGTGTTCTAGTTTCCTTATTGACACATGGAGTTCTAGTTTCTCTGTTGTCACATTGTGTTGCAGTTTCTATATTGACACTTTGTGTTCTAGTTTCCGTATTGACACTTTGTGTTCTAGTTTCCTTATTGACACATGGAGTTCTAGTTTCTCTGTTGTCACATTGTGTTGCAGTTTCTATATTGACACATTGTGTTCTAGTTTCCGTATTGACACTTTGTGTTCTAGTTTCCTTATTGCTACTTTGTGTTATGGTTTCTGTATTGACACATTGTGTTTGAGTTTCCTTATTGACACTTTGTGTTTTAGTTTCCTTATTGACACATTATGTTCTTGTTTTCTTATTGACACTTGGTGTTCTAGTTTCTATATTAACACATTATGTTCTGATTTCCTTATTGACACTTAGTGCTCTGGTTTCTAAATTGACACATTGTGTTCTAATTTGTACATTAATACACTGTGTTCTAGTTTCCTTATTGACATATTGTGTTATGGTTTAAAAGTCAGAATGCGTCTGCCTGAGCGGCAAGGTACAACTAACTGCACACAAATAAGCCAGTAAAATGGATGTACACGCAAAACTCAGGCCTTGGCAAAAAGCCAATCCAAATGGACAAACTACCAGGACTTGTCATTGGAGCCTATAGCCGATGAACAAAGAAGAAGAAGAAGATCTGCAGAAATTTTATCCTTTCTAACAATGTGCAAAAACAGAATGAATTGTCATGTCTGAGGATTTAAAGAAAGCCATTAAAAATAATGCAGCACACACGAAAAGAAGCGGAGAATAATTGATATTTTTTGATTTTTTTTGCATCTAGATAAGTGTTGATGTGGCCTGGAAACCAAACGTTGATCTTCGTTTTTATGATTACCGGGGACTGGCAGACAATTCTGATCTGCTGTTTGTTATGGCTTATGATGAGCAGAGCCAGATTTTTGGAGAATGCCTAGCTGGACCAAACTCGGCATTGACCTCTGCTGTTGAAGGTCAGTGAAATAATTGGCAAGTGACTACACTTCCTGATCATTTCTGCTAACATTTGAAACACAAATCGCTTAGTCATTGCTATCAGTATCTTCAGTTTAAATTTGTATACTTGTGAATATATGCTGTTTGAATTGATTGATTGAAAGAATGATAATTATTTTTGCTGCATCCCATAATGCACTGGTTGTCAGTATCTGTCCCTGCCTGTGATCAGGTCTGCTACTTGCCACTAGTCAACAGTTCTTCTCCTCCTTGTTTGTCATGTTATCCCCCAATGGAACATAGACCCTCAGTTAACTCATGCAAAGTCATCCTATCCTTTGCTAGCTCACCTCATATCCCCCCAGCGGATGATAGACCCTCAGTTAACTCATGCAAAGTCATCCTATCCTTTGCTAGCTCACCTCATATCCCCCTAGCGGAACATAGACCCTCAGTTAACTCATGCAAAATCATCCTATCCTTTGCTAGCTCACCTCATATCCCCCCAGCGGAACATAGACCCCCAGTTAACTCATGCAGTCATCCTATCCTTTGCTAGCTCACCTCATATCTACCCATCTTTTCAACTTGTCTCTTTATTTGAATTTTCAGCCTGCTTTTGATCTGTGTTTCAAATTTTTTTTAAATTACCCGTTGGGTTCCACTGCGAAGACTTTCTTATTTTATTGTTTGTTATCAGCTGCTTGCAACATGTCTTTTGCAGTGCCAGCATCTTCTCCTCACCTCTTGATTCACTGGAATTTTTCATACCATTTAATTTCTGCCCTGGCATCAGTTAATGAAAATTTATTTTTTATTAGTAATTGTTTTGGTTTTTAAACATTTCCATTGTTGGATAGCATTTAGGTAGTGTTTATTATAGAGTTCCAAGAATGAGCTATAAATCCACAACATATAAGTTGGTTGTCGAGCTACATAACTCAAAGATCTATAAATCCACAACAAATGAGTTGATTGTTGAGCTACATAACTCAAGGAACTATAAATCCACAACATATGAGTTGATTGTTGAGCTACATAACTCAAAGAACTATAAATCCACAACATATGAATTGATTGTTAAGCTACATAACTCAAAGATCTATAAATCCACAACAAATGAGTTGATTGTTGAGCTACATAACTCAAGGAACTATAAATCCACAACATATGAGTTGATTGTTGAGCTACATAACTCAAAGAACTATAAATCCACAACATATGAGTTTAATGTTAAGCTACATAACTCAAGGAACTATAAATCCACAACATATGAGTTGATTGTTGAGCTACATAACTCAAGGAACTATAAATCCGCAACATATAAGTTGATTGTTGAGCTACATAACTCAAGGAACTATAAATCCACAACATATGAGTTGATTGTTGAGCTACATAACTCAAGGAACTATAAATCCACAACATATAAGTTGATTGTTGAGCTACATAACTCAAGGAACTATAAATCCACAACATATGAGTTGATTGTTGAGCTACATAACTCAAGGAACTATAAATCCACAACATATGAATTGATTGTTAAGCTACATAACTCAAAGAACTATAAATCCACAACAAATGAGTTGATTGTTGAGCTACATAACTCAAGGAACTATAAATCTGCAACACATGAGTTGACTGTGGAGCTACATAACTCAAAGAACTATAAATCCACAACATATGAGTTGATTGTTGAGCTACATAACTCAAGGAACTATAAATCCGCAACATATAAGTTGATTGTTGAGCTACATAACTCAAGGAACTATAAATCCACAACATATGAATTGATTGTTAAGCTACATAACTCAAAGATCTATAAATCCACAACAAATGAGTTGATTGTTGAGCTACATAACTCAAGGAACTATAAATCCACAACATATAAGTTGATTGTTGAGCTACATAACTCAAGGAACTATAAATCCACAACATATAAGTTGATTGTTGAGCTACATAACTCAAGGAACTATAAATCCACAACATATAAGTTGATTGTTGAGTTAAATAACTCAAGGAACTATAAATCCGCAACATATAAGTTGATTGTTAAGCTACATAACTCAAAGAACTATAAATCCACAACATATAAGTTGATTGTTGAGCTACATAACTCAAGGAACTATAAATCCACAACATATAAGTTGATTGTTGAGTTAAATAACTCAAGGAACTGTAAATCCACAACATATAAGTTGATTATTAAGCTACATAACTTGGTCAGTCTTCAGTTGATGCTGTGAGTATCAGCCAAGGACAAGATGAGTGAGTTCAAAACTTTAAATTAGTGATGACCAACATTGCTTTCTCTGTCAGTTATTTTAATTGTTGTTTCTGACAGGTTTAACCGCATACATAAATGGATCTCATCAAATTGTGCCAGATAAGCTGGTTCTGGGGCTGCCCTGGTATGGCTATATCTACCCTTGTGTTTGGACAGAAGGAGTAAGTTGTGTTTTCCTAGTTCATTGCTGCTAAATTCATGGGATTTTTTAGTTACAGAAACAGAGGAATTCTTCTAGACTAAACTTTGCTAGACAACATGGCAATGGTGTTTATTGTATGAGACCACGGTAGCAACTACGCAGGTATATCACTGGTCATTGGTCCGCTCTAATGGCACCTGCAGCTGAATAAAAATTAATCAAGTTCTAGTGGAATAATCAACAGTTAGTCATTCCAGATGGATACAAGATAATGAACCATGACCAGTCTTCTTTCAGTCACATTTAAAGTATTTCACTTTTGTTGGAAGCTCACTTCTAGACAGCTTGAGCCAGAAACATTCTTCCCTGTGATTTAGATAAATACACATCTGACTTGACCTACTGACAATGAAACTTGACCTTCTGACAATGTAACTTGACCTACTGACAACATAACTTGACCTACTGATAATGTAACTTGAGCTACTGAGAATATACTAGGGAAAGTCAAAAAGTAAGTAACAAATGACCTACTGACAATGTAACTTGACATTCTGACAATATAACTTGACCTACTGAAAATGTAACTTGAGCTACTGAAACCTGCAAATAAAAACATGCTGTTGTGCATTTTGGGTGGGGGGGGGGGGGGGGGGCAAAATGGCTGTCTGCAAAGGACATTCATTACAAAATGCTTCCTGTTTATGCTGATAAATGTTTATCCCATACAGTGATGCACAGCTGAGTAAACAATTTTCATCAAGTTCGCTTTAAAATTGTTTATGAAGTATATTCCGGTCATCCTGTTGAGATTGCAACAGACACACACATTCATGCAGTGGGTGGGGGTGATGATTAGAGGTTATGTGCATTAATTAAGTGATGCATTTTAAATAAATTTATTTAAAAAAAAAACCAAAAAAACATTCCAAGTTTAAAAAAAAAAAAAATTCCAACCAGTATGGCTTTGGGCTCTACCGGGTCTTGTAAATATGGGCAGCAAAGAATGTTCATAATTATCTGGCAATCCAAAGCCAGGCAGCACTGAAAGAGATTTGATCACCTCAGCTCATCTGACATGGTTGAGGAAATATGAATGTCTAACACTTCACAACCCAACAGTAGTATTTGCTCTGGGACTAGCTCTTCATTTAATACTATCACAGCTGGCTGTACAAACATACATTTGTTGTTTATCTGTGTCATTTGGCCAGGATTTATGCTACATCCAGGAAGTACCATTTCGTGGAGTCAACTGTAGCGATGCTGCAGGCAGGCAGTATGATTATGGCTTCATAAATGTTCTTCTTCAAACACTTCCCGGGAGTTGCCGGTGGAATGATAGCTCTGCCACACCATACATGACATATACGGTAATCATATATTGCTGAGTTTTCCTGTCCCTGTTACATTATCAAAGTAAACCATTTTGAATGATCCTCTTAATGCCTTTGACAAAATTTTAGTTAAATTGTTAAGTCTGTAAACATGAATTTGCTGAGAATAGCCAAGTAAACTCTGACATATGCGAAACATTATGTGGATATATATATAGATTTTAAACTTTTTTTCCTCATTAAATAAAGCAATACGGTTAATGTTTATAAAAGTTTAGGGTTAATGTTTAATTATATTAGTTAATTTTGATTAAACATTTAATTTTATGTTTTGTGGCTAGTGATCGTCACGGTGCTTTATATTCTGTGTTAGAGTTTGACATCTGATATGTGTTTCTCAGTGAAGCCGTTGATGAACAATCATCCGCTTTTATTCCAAATTTCTGCGTCTGTTTTCTGTCATGAACATCAACATCAATTTCCACTTCTGCCATTAAGTAACATGGGGGAGAAACCTTTTGTAATCCATTACTTGATGGGCAGCAGTGACTGTTGTCATTCAAGGTGGATTTAGAAGTTCTTTAATGTCATCAGTCCATCTTCTACTAGGGCAAACTCTTGCTTTCACATCAGATCTTTTCATGTGTAGCTCCTGTGTTGGTAGTTTTAAATTGGGTTCATCTTACTAGGTGACCAAACTATTTGATCTCCTGTTTCAATGAATTTGCTGCAAAATGTTGTTCCCACAATCTGTCTGACAATATCATTTCTAACTTTGTCTTGGATGGTTAATTAAGTTAGCGGCTTTTCTCAGGCATCTCATTTCACAAGTGGTAATTTTACGTAGGTTAGTTTTAGATAATGTCCAAGTCTGGCACTGGTAGTACAGTGTTAGTATGAATATGCTGTTTATAATCTGTTTCTTGGCACTCACACTTATGTTTGCATGTCTAAATAACAGTGTCAGTTGGTATATAAGTGCAATAGCTCATTGGCATTTTTTCCAATCCATTCTCCCATTCTACGAGAAAATACTTCCTAGATATTTTAATTTTTTAACTTGCTTTAATTCAGACAAGTACCACTTAACCTGGCATGTAGCAACCTAGGAATTCTGCTGACCTACATTACTTCAGTTTTAGTAGTATTTATTTTCATGTTATATCTTCTGCACATTGAACTTAGTCTGTTCAAACGGGTTTGCTGTCTAATACACACACTCACTCTCCCCCCATTGTAGAACAGATGCTCATCATCTTCAAATAGTTGCTCATTTATTGTGTGTGGATCTAATTCTTCCTCTGGAAAGTAAAGTTCCTCTGGATTTTCTGGATAAATTCGACCGCTTTAAAGCTGGCTTCTTTTGATGTTCTGTCTATGTATATAGTAAATCAGAGAAGAGATAGCACACATCCCTGCCTCCCACCCCTGTATTGAGTGTAAACATATCAGATATGCCTTCTTGTGTTCTCACTGCGCTTTAGGAAGTATGGTACATGGCCATGATGTTATCTGCCAGTTGTCTTTGCATTTTTTTTTCTGCGGCCTTCTCATCTGCCCTGACCCCTTTTGATTCAGGTCATCCCTCCAAAATCTTGATACTGCCATTCCCTTGGTTACCTGCATTCTTTACAGTTACATGTAAAATACTTGTTTTTTTTTACTTATCTTTATCATCTATTAAAAAGAAAATATCAGTTGATTATATTTTTGAAAGGGAATTTTTTTTCCGCTGCATGCAAAAATCCCCCTGAAATGGATTTTAAAAACAAAATCTGTTGTCATGTTTGTGACTGTGAACTGTTAGCTTTGTTGGCTTCTTTAGGTCATTTGAGAAAGGCTACACGACAAGAAATAGTTTTAGAGGGATCAGTACCAAACGGACTTTTGTTAGTCATCACTTACAGTGTTAGTGATCATTTACCTGAAGGTCAGTTCACTCATCAGTCCTTGATACTACAGTACTAAGTGAAGACTGACCAAAGTCCATGTTATGGTAAATTGCTGTCAACACACAAGCCTAGGATTAAATCAGTTTGTAGCCAATGAAGATATATATAATGGTATCCGTGAGTCTCGCGGGATTATGGAGATGTGCTGCTGGTTTTGGGAATAACATCTGCTGTGACTAAAGTCAGATGCGGGAGTGGCAGTCTCAGCCACATAGGATACACAAACAAGTAGATACTCCCACACTATGAGGCTGATTTTCTCTCTGGCATTTCCTCTCTACAGCTCGCTGTTTGGTTTCTTTAAAAATGGGACAATCCATCTTTCACTTTCTGTCACCATACTAGACGATCTGCAGTTGATCTTGCCCAAGTTTCTGTGCCTATGTTGGTCACATTTGCATATGTCTTTGGCCTTCCTGTAGGTCTTTTCCTTGTTTCCGGTTCACCATGCAGGAAGTTGTTTGGAAAACAGCCGACCTCCATGCGGGAGACATGTCCCAGCCAGTGCAGATGTCTTTACTTTAAGATCAATGCACCCAAGAGAGCCCTGTCAGGCACAACAGACAAGACTACCACAGATCAGTGCACCCAGGAGAGCCCTGTCAAGCACAACAGACAAGACTACCACAGATCAGTGCATCCAGGAGAGCCAGGTCAGGCACAACAGACAAGACTTTCACACATCAGTGCACCTAGGAGAGCCCTGTCAGGCACAACAGACAAGACTACCACAGATCAATGCACCCAGGAGAGCCCTCTCAGACACCACAGAAGCAAAGCAAAAGGCCGACCATGCACACAATGGATAGATGGAACATGTGAGGCTGCGAATGCCAGCATCATTTACCAGAGACCAAGGCTCTTGAACCAGATGCCTCGTCCAATCCAGATGCTGACAGGCAAAACAGGGAATAGAGAAATGTGGCTCAGGGAAAAATGTGTTCTTGTATTTTAGTGTTGCATTATTAATCTCTTGCATATTGTTTTTTGCAGAATTTCATAAACAATCAGTCATATCAAATTCAATTTGATGACCCAAAGAGCCTGAAGATCAAATATGACTTAGTGTCACAATTGGGCCTGCGAGGTGTAGGAATATGGAATATTGATTCTTTGGATTACTCAGATTCTGCTGTTGGAAGAAACAATCGGGAGAGCATGTTTACTGCTCTTCCATCAAGACGGACCAAAAAAACTGGTTCAGCTGTGCCGGCTGGAAATGATGGCAAAGCCTGTCCCTGTAGCAAGCCAGAATGGTGTCTTCCTATCACAGACGTGACAAGAAAGGAGGTTAGTTCATTTTGTTTCTGATTACATTCTGTTTATGATTACATTTTGTTATCAAACAAGAGGGTGTCTGTGTAGCAGAATTTCTTGGACAATTGCCCAGTTGTCGCCGACCTCACGTGGATGTGAACTTGTGTAGTGATAGTGTGGGTGGCCAACCCCACGTGGATGTACACTTGTGTAGTGATAGTGTGGGTGTGAATCCTGACACTGCATGCCCTCATGAAACAATGGACTAATGTCTGAGCTAGATCCATGACAAAGTCCTGCGTAACCAAGAAAACAGCCAAAAGTGGCTCATAGAATAAATTTAAAATAGCTGTTTCTGATACTCAAAGGAGTAAGAAAGGAAAAGATGTAAAGATTAAATTAAATTTGAGAATATTAAAATATTCTGTTAACCCCCCCCCCCCCCCCCCCCCCCCCCCCCCCCCGTATTAATTTATACAAATGCCCCTTTCTAACAACAACAACAACAAACTGCCAATTACTGTCTTTATTATACCACTTTTGTTGTAAGGCGAAGGGTCTTTGAGTTTAAGGATTTATGGCTGCATGACTGGTGCTGTCGCCACGACTGTGCAGGTCAGATTTAATTTGCCAATGCCCCCACCAAGTGATTCATATTTAATTGAGCTGAGGTAAACAAGTATAAGCAAAGACACTTGAACACTAAGTATACAATTTACCCAGTTAAGATTTTATAATAACTAGAAAAAAGGTTTTATTTAATGAAATCTAATGAAAGAACATGATTCGTTTTTATCTTACAATCCTAAAAGATCATGGCTCATTGATGGTAATGAGTAATCAGTGAGTTATATGTGCCTGTGAGAGTAGAGTGATGATAGTGTTAGGATGAAAATAATTCTTTTGAACATTAATGGTACATAACCTTTAGAAAGTAGACCTGGAGATAGTAAGGCTGGGAAAATTGAGATCTGTCTCCAGATGAACTTTCTTATAATCTTTTTTATCTCAGTGTTACTCTTTCTCTTTTGCATTTTATGGTTAGATAGAATTTATGTTCTTGCACATATATGCATTTTCTGTCACAGTTTGTGTTCTCTTGAGTCTGCATTTTTGTCACAGTTTATTTTCCCATGAGTCTACATATTTATGTAATCACAATTTATTTTCCAGCAGGTTTATGTATTTTCTGTCACAGTTTATGTTTTCTAAGTCTGTATCTTCTATGACATTTTATGTTCTCAAAGGGTTACATATTTTCTGTCACAGTGTATGTTCTCACAGGTCTGTGCATTTTCTGTCACAGTGTATATTCTCACTAGTCTACGTTTCTGTCACAGTGTATGTTCTCACAGGTCTGTGCATTTTCTGTCACAGTGTATATTCTCACTAGTCTACGTTTCTGTCACAGTTTATGTTCTCACAGGTCTGTGTATTTTCTGTCATAATTTATGTTCTCACAGGTCTATGTATTTTCTGTCACAATTTATGTTCTCACAGGTCTATGTATTTTCTGTCACAATTTATGTTCTCACAGGTGTATGTATTTTCTGTCACAATTTATGCTCTCAGAGGTCTATGTATTTTCTGTCACAATTTATGTTCTCACAGGTCTATGTATTTTCTGTCACAGTTTATGTTCTCACATGTGTATGTATTTTCTGTCACAATTTATGTTCTCACAGGTCTATGTATTTTCTGTCACAGTTTATGTTTTCACAGGTATATTTATTTTCTGTCACAATTTATGTTCTCACAGGTTTATGCATTCTCCCTCATAAATGATGAGAACCATTGGACAAAATTTGATTGGTCAAAGATAACGACTGTCTGCATGTACGGTTACATCAACACAAGTCTTATGTGCCTGGCCCACTCATATGGAGCCCGTGCTGTGACTGTAGGTAGGTTTGTTCACTTTGCATATGTGTGTGTGTGTCTGTAATATATTTGTATGTTCTGTTAAAATGGGGCAAATTGATCTTGAGGTACAGTCATGATATGTTAGCACATACCCCCCCCCCCCCCCCCCCCCCACCTTTTCCTCCGTGTGTTTCCTGAAGGTGAAGTTGGTACGTCTAGATGTATACTCAGTATACTCAATTCCTGAAAATATATTATACATGGATGACAAGCCTTTAAGTACCAGGAGATGGAAGAGAGAATCTCTTATGTCTAGATTCACTTGAAAAGTTTAGTGGAGCGAAAATCTACTTCTGGTGGTTAGGTGATGAGGATACTAGCTTTTAGGTCAGAGGTTGTTGTTAAGGGATGGTATCTTCAGAACATAAATAATGCAGGGTCACTGGATGGACAGTCACACATGACTTGCACTTCCCAGGACAGCAAGAGTAGAGCAGGGACAAATTGCAGATGAATTCCCATTAAACAATGCAGCCGTTGCTCAGTATCATTTACATATCGATATATAGATACAGCATGAAACAGTCCAGTCAATTAAGATCTGTGTCAGGGATGCATGGTTAGGCCAAACTGCTTGTGCTATCTACTACTCCTTGCTCCTTGCTGTAACTTTGTGTTTGATCAAAGGGGACTGATATATATGTTTATGTTTATTCAGTGGATCAACAGCACGGCACCAGTCACCTGATAGATATGTTTATGTTTATTCAGTGGATCAACAGCACGGCACCAGTCACCTGATAGATATGTTTTATGTTTATTCAATGGATTAACAGCACGGCACCAGTCACCTGATTTAAATATTTATGTTTATTGAATGGATTAACAGCATGGCATCAGTCACCTGATATAACTGTTTATGTTTTTTCAATGGATCAACAGCATGGCACTAGTCACCGGATAGATGTGTTAATGTTTATTCAATGGATCAACAGCATGGCACCAGTCACCGGATAGATGTGTTATTGTTTATTAAATGGATCAACAGCATGGCACCAGTCACCGGATAGATGTGTTAATGTTTATTCAATGGATCAACAGCATGGCACCAGTGATACACAGGGAGATTTCGGCTACATTACAGGTTAGGTTAGTTGCGTATCCTTTACAGGATGTTGCAGAACCAACCCCAACAGCTCCTGGCTGTTGTGGGGTTTTTCTAGGCAAATACGTCCAATTGTTTGCCATTGCTTTCTAGACGGTCAACTTTCTCGATACCACTGTCGAAACCTACACAAGGCGCGCGGCCCGCAGCTGGGATCGAACCCGGCATCCCTGCATTACGAAGCTTTCGCATCGACTTAGCCACAGAGCCGACCTACATGACAGAATGGTAAGTAAAAAAGTAAAGGACCCTTCTCCACGCCTTAAGGTGTATAGGGCATATAGGGCTAGACCTATATTTTTATAGACTAAACGGGTGATGTGGCCAGCATCACGCCAGCCGCCTCTACTTCCCGGGACTGCACCCAATACCCACTCAAGGCTGGGTCGACCTGGGAGCCAAGGTCATTTTCAAAAAAAGCGTCTAGCCGCTCCACAACGGGGACTGCCTGACAGAATGGTACACTGGGAGAATTTGAACAGTACGATAGTCTTCATCTAGACTGCTGGACTTGTGATATAAAGTTCTGACAGAAAGATTGCAGAAGAGAAAGGTGGGTGCCACAATCTGGACATGTGTTAGAAAACATTGGTCATGTGAATTCTGTTCTTCTGTGAACAGGTCAGGTCAAGGAGATTACCATGATAACTCCAGCTCTGAGAAGCAAGTGGGTTAGTGAACAGCTTCAGATAGTTCAAGAGAACTTCCTGGATGGCCTCAACTTTGATGTAGAGATGACAATAACTCCAAAGCAAAAGGATCTGAGGGATGCATACACAGCACTTGTCACAGAAACAAGTGTAACTTTCAAAAAAATACTGCCATACTCACAGGTAACTTTTTTACTAAAGTCAGGCCCTCTCATAATCATTCAGTTGTTTTTTGTCGTTTTTATTTCATAGTTTTTCATTCCTTACATTTAGTCCCTTTCCTGATCATTCTTACGTTTTAGATTCCATTTACCTTATATTTCATTATTTATTTAATTAATTTACTTCCTTTCCTGATCATTCGTAAAGTTCAGATTTCATCGATTTCACCTTTCTTACATTTGGTTCTTGAATGGCATGTATTTAATAAAAAAAAAAAAAAAACATCTGTTTCATCTATTTCTACGTCTCTGCCTCAATATTTTCTTTCTTTTACTTATCCTACTCTCATACCTCAGTATGCTTTCTTTATTTTCCTGCCTGTATCTTAAAAATATTGGGGCTTTTGAGCTGAGATGCTATAGAAAGATTCTCAGAATATCTTGGACTAAAAAGAGGAGAAATACTGACATCTCGAAAATGTGAAGATCAAGGAAGATTGAATAATAAACAGCATATTGTCTCGGAAGCTGAAATATTTTAGTCATATCAAACACCACGACGGATTGGAACATTTTTTAGCAGAGGGCATGGTACCAAGAAGGAAGGGCAGGGGCTGACCAACACGAAGATGGGCACAGGATATAAGTGTCTCCTTGAGTATGAAAGTGCATGAGGCGGGAGAACTGGCAAGAGACCGAGTTTCTTTCAGGCAGACTGTGATGAGAGCGACTTTCTGCAAAGTTCCTGCTACATGATGATGATGATCTTAAAAATGTAAAAATTCCAGATGCAATAGTTACAAAAGTAAAGACACTAATAATAAATTTCTATTGAAAACGTATATGCTATTCTTTATATGAAATCAAAAGATAGTAATAAAGCAGAGCATAAGTTGAACAATCTTGATTCAGAGAAGAGAGCGCTGAGATTTCATTTATTGTTTTGTTCACATTCGCAGATCAGCATAGATGTCACTGTTGATGCCTTCAGCATGTATGCTGCCTATGATTATCCAGCCTTAGCAGCCGCTTCAGACTTTCTGTTTATCATGGCTTATGATGAATACGGCTATGATCGTGTTGGTCCAAATTCAGATTTTTCCATCACCAGTCGTGGTAGGTCATTTCTGTTTGTACAGAGTCATCTGACTGGTTCTGCGTTAGTTTTGTGTTTGTTTGTTTATTAAGCTTTTAAACACTCGCGTGTCACACAATATTTTCTGCACTTTGAAGTTTAATTCTGGTCTCTACCCCAAAAAATGAACTTTAACCCTGGTCTCTACGCAAAAAAAAATTATATATATATATATATATATATATATATATATATATATATATATATATATATATATATATATATATATATATATATATATATCAGTAGTAAATGAAATCATCATGAATGTGCTTCAGTGAATTGTTACAGAATGTATACAGTGTAATAAGATGAAACATTTCACGGCAAAGACACATCAAAATGATAGGAAAATTAGAAATTCAGTCAAACTTAGTAAATCTGTTGAATACCATAAATGATAATTACTGTCAGGGTGTCATTCAGGTGAAGGGTATAAAATATATATTGCAAAGAAAAAGCAAAAGCACCATGCGCTTGTGCAAGATGATGTCAGGTATGCCCACTTCAAGAATATAAGTGATGAAGACTTGAGGAAGATAGGTATCATTCTAGAAAATAGCTTTGGCAAGGTTCTAGAAAAGATCATTGCTGTTAAACTGCACACATTTTTGGAAAGGAAATAGCTCCTTCCTAGAGATCTGCTGGTTAGTTTCCAGCAAAAGAAAAGATCTCGTCAAAAGTGGCCACTGTTGCTTTTGATGTTTTTGAGGAGTTCCAGAATAAACGGTAGTGGAGACGGTAGTGGCAGCACTTGATCTTGAGGATACCTAAGATACTTTTATATCTGCAGCTACAAAGAAGGGGTATGTTTCTGGCTGGTGAACTGGATATAGCAGCTGTCCTACAATCCAATATTTGTGCCCTACATCTTGTACATAGACCTCAGAAAACAATTTGAATACCAAGATTTTCACAGGGTTCTAAAATGTCACTAGTGCTCTTCAGTGTATACACAAGCAAGACTGCAGAAACTGAAGCACCAAGTTATTGAATGTTGAGATGACATTCTTGCATATAGACAAGGGGGAGAAAGAGAATAGACCACTACAGGCAACAGACAGGGGAGATATAGAAAACAGACAGCACTACAGGCAACAGACAGGGGAGAGATAGACCAACAGTTCAGTTGATATCACGCTGAACAACAACAGCCTTGAAAAAGTCAACAGTTTCACTTATCTGGGGAGCAAGATGTCATCTACAGGAGATACCGCACCAGAAATACCATTTAGAATAGCACTGGCATCTAGTGCCTTCAATAAACTGTCTAACATCTGGAAATCAAAGACACTTAGCAAACACAAAACTCAAGATCTTCAATTCTTGTGTGATTCCAGTACTAACCTATGGATGCGAGAGCTGGAAATCAACGAAAACTCTAGACACAAAATTAGACAGTTTTGAAAATAAATGCCTTAGAAATTTCAAATGCCTTAAATTTCAAATGGTCAGATTTCCGAACCAATACACAAATAAGGCAATAATCCAGGCAAGAGTATGTGTCTAATTTTATACGAAAACGCCGCTGGAACTATGTCGGCCACGCCCTTAGAATGGATAAATCAAGACTTCCTTACCAAGCCCTCATTTGGACACCACAGGGGAAACGATCTCGTGGAAGACCAAGGGAAACTCTACGTAGAACTATCATCAGGGAAGGCTCGCTCATGGGCCACTCAAACATCCAAGACCTACAACGGATTGCAACGAACCGCCATGCATGGAGAGTCATGACCTCTGCCCTATGTGCCGCACTCGACACAAGAGGAAAGACTAACTAACTAACTACAGGCAACAGACAGGGGAGAGATAGAAAACAGACAGCACTACAGGTAACAGACAGGGGAGAGATAGAAAACAGACAGCACTACAGGCAACAGACAGGGGAGAGATGATAGAAAACAGGCAACAGACAGGTGAGAGATAGAAAACAGACAGAACTACAAGCAACAGACAGGGAAGAGATAGAAAACAGACAGCACTACAGGCAACAAACAGGGAGATATAGAAAACAGACAGCACTACAGGCAACAGACAGAGGAGAGATAGAAAACAGACAGCGCTACAGGCAACAGACAGAGGAGAGATAGAAAACAGGCAACTGTAGACAAAGTGCTGGAAGCAGTGCAGAAATGGATGCCATCATCATCCCAGAAAAGGTGGCTGTTTTATTCTGCTCTCTTGACAGTAGGCTTGTTAGAGCTTTAATTTTCTAAGTACTATTTTTATTTTTATGATGTACTGTTATTTCAGTGTATTGTGTAACTAAGTTTTGACCCTCTTTTTCTCTATCTATACGAGATGTTTAAAAGACGTGTCCCTGAATGCCTTGTACCGTGAAGTGGTAGAGAGACATTTATTCCAGTGATCCTAAGGATGGGTAAATGATAGAAAAGTCACTGATAGGGTCTCCCATGTCAGACAAATCACAGGTTAAGGACCAGAGGAAGAGAGACAGAAACCTGCTGCCCTGTGGTGTCACAGATAGGAGAAAGAGAACCTGATGAAAAAAGATTGAATGGAATCCGTTGTATAGAGCCACAGCTTGATAAAAAAAAAAAAAAAAGAAGACCATGTCCATCCCACTGAAAAAAAAAAAAATGGCCATTTGCAAATTAAAAACACAGGTCTAGAGAGTTGTAAACCAACTGGTAATTGTGATATATCTTAACCTTTTTTTATTGCTTCTTGATCCTGAATAATAGCATCACTTCTAACCAACTTACCTTTGTGAAACATTCACTTATCACCACCACAGGTATAGAGTCTTACATGAGGAAGAACATCAGTGCTAGCAAGCTGGTGCTGGGGCTTCCTTGGTATGGCTACATCTACAACTGTACAAAGCTTCTAGAGGTCTGCGCCATGATTTTGTTAATTGGTTTTGTTGACGCCTTCCTCGTAATGCAGATTTTGTTTCTTCTAATTTAAAAATTATATGTTAGCAACTACAAAAATAATCTAGACTAATTCTAATTATTTCTGAAGAGAAGTGACATTGTCAGTGCCATCTACAGCTCTAACTGTGATGCCAAACACGGCAAAGGGCTTGACTCCATATCCCTGTCTAGTCTGATGGACGTGGGGTACAACCTGAAGTTGCAATAAACGAACATTTCACTAAGGGGACAAGGCAGTTGATTAACCAACACAGAACATCAGCAATCATTTTATGCTTATGGAGCTTTTGGGGAGGAGATTAGAGCACCTATGGACTTGTCCTTGGTGCTGTGAAGATAATCGTCACTAATCGCTAATATACTTTTGATTATGTTATCTTTCTACTGCATATGTTGCATTTTTTGATCCCTTTGTAGTTGATACATAAACACTTGCCTAGTCATGTTTGAGTGGTATATTTCTACATTTTTTTCCTAGTCTTATATTATTAGAATGTTAGGCTGCTATTGAAATATTCCTTGTTTTTATTATAATTTAATTGAAACGACCTTATTCAGATTATATTCTTGTTTCATCTGAGCTATCATTTAAATAGTATAACATCAAACTAAATGGGAACATTGCTAATGTTTTCAATTTCATCATTTATGTAAAACTATTACTGTTGTCACGATGAAGAGTTCAGTTACCAAGGAGACACAATGGGCTAAAGTAACAAATGTATGGAACAGGAGCCTAAGCCTGGGAAAACAAAAAAGGATTATATTAGCGGATGGAAGGGCCAAGAAAAGTAAAATAAAACGAGGAATTACTAATAAACTTCTAGTGTGCTGCATGTCATAGACTGAAGTTCAACAATGAGCCAGAATAGCTGTCATGGGACAGTCATCACATCTGCTGCAGTGTACCTGGTAGAGATGAAAACAAGAAATTGCCAGTGCAAACCTGTATATATATATATATATATATATATATATATATATATATATATATATATATATATATATATATATATATATATATATATATATATATATATATATATATATATATATTTTTAGTTTTGTATGTTGATGTTGGCTGCACTTCAGTTTCTAAAATTTATGCAGGTATGAATGTTATCATCATCAAAACTTCACTCCAGTCATACTCCAGTCATACTCCCAACACACTCCAGTCACACTCCAGTTGCCAAAGAACTCATTTGGAACATGAGTAAAGCCTGCTGGAGCAATATACTTCTTCTTTTATAGATTATCTATATCTGCAATGTTGTCTCTAGTATGAACTTCACTGTTTGTTAGAATTCAATCAGCAATATACTACTAAATGAGAACCCTTGGGTAAAATGTCTGTTGAGTGAAAGAACTACTGGACTGCAGAGACTGAGGCTAGACCAAGAGATTCCCCTGCAGTTTAAATGTCACGGTCACTGCGTTGATAGATGTCACAACAATCTGCCACTGATAGGGCTCAAATTTTCACCAGAATCATGGCACAAACTGTGATTTAAAAATCCCAAAAATTCTGAAGCACATGGTGCATCTGCATTGATATTTGCTGGGGTTTTCTATGTCACATAGATATTGTGCTCACAGGAAACGACCATCCTAGAGCTCTTGGTGTATAATTATGAATAGCTGTTTAAAATGGCAGATTTGCTGCCAGCCAGTATTTCTTCATTTGACTGATAGTTGTGAAAAGAAACCAATTAAGGATTTGCTGAAATCGGATGTGTCAGGCTGATATATTATTATATTGCAGCTTTGCTGTAAACAACAATACAATGGGCCAATTGCCTTTTAAGAGTAACTAGCTAATTGGGTTATCATCATTGCACTCCGGACATGTCCATAGGTGCTCAGATCCTCCCCTCAGTATGAACCCCAAGGTCCGATGGCTAATAGTACCAGTTCTATGTTGATTAACAAGTCGTCTGGTGTGTGTCTCATTTTTTGCTATGCCAATCTTAATTCCCAAGTCTGCCATTCTGGCGAATGATGTGGATTCACTGCCCCCCAAAGTCCTCTATCCTTTCCATTTCTATTTAAGAGTAAATGCAAGAGAAGTGAAATATAATGTATATGAAGCCACTCGGGTAATGTTTAATTGAAATGATGGTCAGCTGATTTGCTTTTAACATCAGTAACTGGTCATTTCTTTAAAAATCATTATACTGAATGTTATTTCAACTAGTCAGCATAGAGTCGTCAAAACATTTCTGAAATGTCTGTTTCAGGATACCTGTTTCCTGACTAGTTCACTGAATCGCCACTCGGATCAGTTTAGTTACCAGGCAATATACCAGCTGTTGCAGAGGATGCCAGAGAGGTACAGGTGGAATGCCACTTCAGAAACCCCATATTTTTCTTATACCGTGAGTGATGTCAATTTTTTCTTTTTCTGTGCTCATCCTCAAAAGGGTGCTCAGCATGTTAAGTTCGAGTCCACAGCTAGACAGCATCATCTGCATCTTTCGGCCAAACAGAAATTTGTGTGTGTCATCTATCTCTGTTTATCTACTTTCACCCCACCAGGACATCACACAAGCGATAAACACCAGATGACACAAAGTGCCACCATGCAGATGAGGATCACCCGTGGAGAGGTCCCAGAAGCTGCGTTCAGCCATTAGACCATATTTATGGCCGGGCTATATTGCGGCCCCTGGCAACAGCCAGAGTAGGGCTTCAAAAAACGAAAAATTGCATCCCAAAAGAAGATGACCAGATTGTGTGTGTCATTTTAGTGCACTGGTTATTCTTTTCAGGATAAGTGATAAAAGCTTAGGTTACAAGAAAAAGTGGGTTTTTCCCCCCATGTTATTTTATTTCAATTTGGGATTGGTCAGTGGTGCTATAGCAAAAGCTAATAAGGTGACAGTTTACTGCCTGCTGTTGTATTAAACACACCCAAACACACACAGATACACAAGAGAATAAATTTAGCATTGTTTGTCTACAAGTTATTGATTGCAACCATTGTTTTACCATTGACCTGTTTCTGTTATTTCGTGTATTACAGGATCCACAGACGGGCAGTGGCTATCAGGTCCAGTACGATGATCCAAAAAGCTTGAAGATAAAATATGATTTAGCCGCCAGCAAGAACATCAGAGGAGTGGGAATGTGGACTATAGATTTTTTGGACTATTCTGATACAAAGGAAGGGGAAGCAATGAGGCAGTCAATGTTTTCTCCACTTCCCTCCCATGATGACCGATCATTGTTGAAAGACATAAATAATTATCAAAACTTGACTGTTTAATCAGATATACTTTAGAAAGTGCCGTATTTTCGGAATACTTTACTGAAAGTAACATTTATAGGAATGTTGACCAGTGTAACTGCTAGTACTATTGATTGCATGTGATGGTTGTGAATACTGAAGGGGTCATTTAGTCAGGAACTAAAGCTTGTGTGCTGTCACCCCTCCATGCCTCTCCACAATCTGTGATTTTAGCATCAAATATCAGTTTGTTTGCTGATACCCCTCCATGCCAAGACAGAAATCTGTTAAGAATCTTGTTCTATCTAGCCTTTCACAGATCTTTACAGTGGTCACATTTTCATTGGTTTTCTTCATATCATGACCAGAAGATAACAGCTGTCTTTTTTTGACGTTTATAAGTTTTCTTCGAGCCCTCGCTTTTTTCAAAACATCTAGGTTGCTCTTTTTTTAAGGATTCTTCTGTACATGAACACGTTGGAGGGAGTGAGTTAAAATAACATTTTTTTGGTACTGGGAGTTAGAAATGACTATAAGTTTAAAGGTTGTTGGTGCAAATAATGATGATCATTCAATAGCTTCTGCATTAGAACTTGTGAGCAGAAGGTGAGGGGAAGAGATGGACAGTAGAACTTGTGGGCAGAAGGAGAGGGAAAGACCAGGGAAGAGATGAACAGTAGAACTTGTGGGCAGAAGGTGAGGGGAAGAGATGAACAGTAGAACTTGTGGACAGAAGGAGAGGGAAAGACCAGGGAAGAGATGAACAGTAGAACTTGTGGGCAGAAGGTGAGGGGAAGAGATGAACAATAGAACTTGTGAGCAGAAGGTGAGGGAAAGACCAGGAGAGAGATGAACAGTAGAACTTGTGGGCAGAAGGTGAGGGGAAGAGATGAACAATAGAACTTGTGGGCAGAAGGTGAGGGAAAGACAAGGGAGGAGATGAACAGTAGAACTTGTGGGTAGAAGGTGAGGGAAAGACAATGGAAAAGATGAACAGTAGAACTTGTGGGCAGAAGGTGAGGGAAAGACAAGGGAAGAGATGAACAGTAGAACTTGTGAGCAGAAGGTGAGGGAAAGACAAGGGAAAAGATGAACAGTAGAACTTGTGGGCAGAAGGTGAGGGAAAGACAAGGGAAGAGATGAACAGTAGAACTTGTGGGCAGAAGGTGAGGGAAAGACAAGGGAAGAGATGAACAGTAGAATTTGTGGGCAGAAGGTGAGGGAAAGACAAGGGAAGAGATAAATAAACAGCCTAGCTGAATCCTGCAGAGATCATCATCAGTTGAGAAGCAAAGGGCAAATGCAGAAAACAACAACATTGTTCTACACCCTGGCAACAACACTGGGCTACACCCTAGACAACAACACTGGGCTACACCCTGGCAACAACACTGGGCTACACCCTGGCAATAAAGCAAACAAAAACACTGGGCTACACCCTGACAATAAAGCAAACAACACTGGGCTACACCCTGGCAATAAAGCAAACAACACTGGGCTACACCCTGGCAACAACACTGGGCTACACCCTGGCAATAAAGCAAACAACAACACTGGGCTACACCCCAGCAATAAAGCAAACAACACTGGGCTACACCCTGGCAACAATATGATTACAAGAAAAAAGAAAAAGCTTTTAGTTTGAGAAATTAATGATTAGTTATTTATTCTCTTTAACTGTTCATTAATTTTATGGGAGATTTCTATTTCCTTTTTGCTCATAGCTTCACACTGTTCATTTATTTCTTCAGTTTTTTTTTTTGTCATGATTATTTTCACCACACTTCTTTTGTAATATTTTTTATTGATGGTGAAACAAGAAATAAATACTTTTTGACAGTGGCAAAGGAAGACAGCTTAAATTTCAACTTTCAAGTATCTGCTTGCCTTCTTTAATAATTTCATAATTTGTAGATGAATTTTCTTGATAATTGCTGCGCCACCCCTGGCATATGGTGCCGCAGCTAAAGTATGTGGTGGGTTGGAATGAATGAATGAAGAATATACATCAAAACGCTCAGGCCATTCCCACATGTGTCCATTCAACCAGGTTCTATAACCATGTCTGTCTGCCTCTTCCCCTCTGTGGGTCAGTGGCAATAGACTTGACATTTATTGTTTGAGACCTGTCCATTCAACCAGGTTCTTTAACCATGTCTGACTCAACGCTCTCTATAAAACAAAACAAAAAAGCAAACACTGACAAGCAGTCCAGGATCCCCAGCCCCTTGCAGAGGTGAACTCAGAACAGCCTTGACTTTGTACGTTACAGGTAACCATGGAAGAGATCAACAACAGAAATACTGAAGCAAGACTACTTTTGTTACCACACCCGATGTTTTGGTATGTTTCAGTTGATTCCCTGCTTATCAATAACAACATTTTAATAAAGCACCCCACTTTAAAGAGTTCAACAATAAATGCATGGATAACATCAAACGTATTGCTCCAGAACATTCGCTTCAGCAACTGGCAGCCGCCACAGCTGAGTGAAAATAAATGCTACAGCGATGATGTCATGGAAGAAGAATTTCAAGATTATATTTAGTAATTTAGTCCCACATAATATCCTCATTGCATATCGAACCACTCAGTCCATAATTACTCGAGTCCCCTCTTCAGTAAATCCCGCAGCATGTAGCAGCTGACGACACCAGTTCTGTGCTAGTTTATTTTTTGGCTACCGCGTAGTGTTCTTGTTTAACCCAGTTTAACTAGCTTTTCTTGCAGTCTGACCATGGTTGCAGATTCACAGTTTTTAATTGCTTCATGCAAACATTTTGAATCTTGTAGAGCATTCAGCATATCAGCCTGGTTCATGGCTTGTCTGGCTTTTACAGTAGCCTTGCCTGCAAGTCTATCAGCTTGCTCCTTTCCTTGTACCCCCACATGTTCTGAAAATGAAACTAATCCTTGTCAGCCGTGAACGCTATATAGCCACCAGCCACTGCCTTCGAAACCCAGCCCTTCTCTATCTTCCTGAGCATACTCATCAAGTCACCGAGAAAGCATTCCCCAGTGAAAGTCTGTGTCTCTAGCCATGTTACTACTTTAATCACAGCGATGACCTTCATAGTCAGACTACTTGTTGTTACAGTAAAAGCTACAAAATTTCCTTCACAACTCTCCCTCCAACCTGCGTCGTGAAAGCTGACGAGCTTCTAACATGGCTGATTGCAGACCCAATTGTGTAAATGACAGCATCACCCTCTAGAGAATTCTCGAAAATCAAGGCTTGAACTTCTGCTTCCACAGCAGCTGGACTCTGTTGTCTGCATTTTGTGTCTAGTTGCATGCAAACAGAAAAGGATGTATAGCACTCTGAAGGCACTTGCACCCACTTCTCACCGGGTTCTATGTCCTCAAGTGAACATACCTGTAAAATAATGTCCTTGGCTTGACCCATCCACGATTTGCCTTTTTTTTAACCAGCTGCCTTTTATCTTCTTGATTTCACTATGCAATGTATGTTGTTGTCAAAACCCTTTTTGTACAGTCTAGTGACGGTATACCGTGTGTATGGGTAGAACCCAGAGTTGACCCAGAGGTCAGTACGGTGGATGGCATGACTGTCCAGTTATGTGCTATAGTAACTAAGGGGAAACTACCGCTCAGCGAGACCCAGTGGTAACAGCGATTAAGTGCTGAAAGAGTGAACTCTCTTTCTGGCGGTTTCATGTTTGCTGCATGAACCGAGCTGAGCGAACTGACCCTGACAAAACTCATGAGTTGGGAGTGAGTGACATTTTATTTGATTTTCACTGGCACAGGCAAGATTGACACAGGGAGCTAAAATTCTGGATCGTTATACAGTGGAGATCACTTTGCTCGGATGTGGAGAATTTATGTTGTGAAGAATAATTTGTTTATCCTGGGCAAATTTTCTTGCATGAATTCTTATCGGAATAAGAGGAATTTATGATTACAAAAACAGTTTCATGGGGCATCGGCGAGTTCTGCTTATCAGATCTGCATTGTACATATACTAGATTTCTGCCGGGATGTAACCGACACCATAAGTATGGGGGAACTCCGTGGGGGGGGGGGGGGGGGGGGGAGAGTTGAGCGTATGGAAATGTCCCGTGTTTTTTTATTGATTCGAAAAGTGAGTGTGCCTGGGAAGTAAAACCTCTTCCATGATATTTGCCAAGCCTGTGAGAGAAAAAAGCTGATTTCTGGGAAATGTGAAAAATAGACGCACCTGGTGCGACCTGGATCGATTGCTGATTGGTTTATTCAAAATTAGAGGACACACAGTTTGCAATGATTTTTTAATTGTGTACTTGTAACAGTGATCAATAAATGTAACAGTGATCAATAAATGTAACAGTGATCAATAAATGTAACAGTGATCAATAAATGTAACAGTGATCAATAAATGTAACAGTGATCAATAAATGTAACAGTGATCAATAAATGTAACAGTGATCAATAAATGTAGCAGTGATCAATAAATGTAACAGTGATCAATAAATGTAACAGTGATCAATAAATGTAACAGTGATCAATAAATGTAACAGTGATCAATAAATGTAACAGTGATCAATAAATATAACAGTGATCAATAAATATAACAGTGATCAATAAATATAACAGTGATCAATAAATGTAACAGTGATCAATAAATGTAACAGTGATCAATAAATGTAACAGTGATCAATAAATGTAACAGTGATCAATAAATGTAACAGTGATCAATAAATGTAACAGTGATCAATAAATGTAACAGTGATCAATAAATGTAACAGTGATCAATAAATGTAACAGTGATCAATAAATGTAGCAGGGATCAATAAATGTAACAGTGATCAATAAATGTAACAGTGATCAATAAATGTAATAGTGTATTTAAGAATATATGAATAAACACAAATTGAAGAAAACGTTTATACATGCTTTTTTTTGGAGTGGAGGGGGAAGTGGGGGGGGGGAGGGGGAGAGAAAGCAATCTTTTAAAATAAATCGGGGAGGGGCTAGCCTTGAATCCTCCAAATAATATGGCGGGTTTTTTTGGGTGGGGGGGGGGGGGGCGCTGCGCC